CCTACATCCCTGTGCCTGGCCCGTTCCGTCTCCCTCTGCCTCGATGAAGACACAGCGCTCAAATTCTAACCCGGCACTTCAAGAAGTGTGATGAGTCACCACGCACGTTAAGCACATGGCGTGAGCCAGTCACACCCAGGACTTTAACCCGGTTCCACCAGTGGGAGCTATGTAATTTCTACAACCACCCAGCCTGTCTCATCAACTAAATGAGGGTAAAAACTGTCTTAGCTGGGCGTGGCAGCCCATGCCTGTGGTCCCAGCACTCAGGAAGCTGGGGCAGGAGAATCGCCAGGAGTTCTGAGGCCAGCCAGAAATACACTGGGGGACTGTTTCAAAACGATAGCAAAGAGGCTACCGTTTAAGTTTTTGGTACTGGGGATCAAACTAGGGACCTGTGTGAGTGCAGCACCACTGAGCTAAATCCCAGCAGAGAAGCTATTTTTTAAAACTACTTGGCCGGGGATTTAGCTCAGTGGTGCCGCCACCTGCTTTGCAAGCACCTGAGTTCGTTCCCTGGTACAAATAACTACTAACCCACCTTTAAGGCATGCTAGTCAAAATAACCCATCACACCACACGAGGTGTGACACAAAATGTAATTGTAGCAAGAATGGCAGAATTGCTGATTCCCCTTTTTATGCTGCTGATGGCTCAGCACCTGGACGTCTCAGGATTCTACATTTGGGGAGGTGACAACCGAAGCAGACCTCAGCTGGGAGAGTAGGGATCTGTAGCAGCTGTCTGTGGAAGATACAGCAAATCAACTCCACGCCACTTCCTTTTTGAGAAGGGGGTCTTTTTATGCAGTTCAGCCAGGCCTGGAACTCAGAGATCCTCCTGCCCCAGCCTCCTGAGTGCTGGGAATATAGGTGTGTTCCACCACACTGGCGCTTTCATTCATTCTTAGCCTCACTCACATCGGAGTCCCAAGAACGGCTGGCAAACACATTTGGAAAGGAAACGGTCAACTACAGCAGGCTGATATAACTCTCACCTAACATGCGGCAGCCAGGGTGAAAATAGTGTTTATTACAGAACCTGGGAGCAGCACGGAGATAAGGGACTGACTTCATATCCACGAGTGACATGGAGTGGCCGCGCCTTGAAGGGAAGGGGTGACTGTCACAGGGACACCATATGCTCAGGGGATGTTTGTGGAGGAAGGGCTCTTTTTATGTGTCCTAATTTCCCAGTGAATGTAGGGTCACATACAAGGATACGGTATTACAGGCCCTCGTTTTTGTTTTGAGTCAGGCTCTTGCTATCTTTCAGGCTGGCCTTAAACTTGCTAAGCCGGGGCTGTCCTTGAACTCGTGACAATCCGCCTGCCTCAGCCTCCCAAGTGCTGGGATTAAATGTGGATGCCACCCTGCCCAGCTCCCTTGTTTTGTGACCCTGAATCTGCAGTCACTGAGGTTCTGGACTTGCCTTGGAAAGCCCGGAATTGGGCCTGGCGAATAAAATACATGGCAAAGCCGTGAAACCAAGAAAATACATTTTTTAAAAAAGCTTTCAGGTAGAGTACACAAAAGCAAACATGTTTATCTTAAAAAATATCAAGTATCACATCCATTGTCTGTTCCTAATTATAATTACTTCTTAAAGCAATATTTGTCATTTACAAGTACAGCAGCAGGTAATAAACCTAACATTACAGATTGCTTTACACTACTACCAGTTCATAATACACACACATTTTTAGGCAGTTTAACTTAAAATGCAGTTACATACGTTAAACTTGTTATCAAATCAATGAAAAAATCACTTTCAAGAAAGAAAAAACTATAGAACTTTTATATAGAGCAAAAGTCTACTTGATGGCCACAAACCCGCATCTACTCCTCTGACAGGCAGTGAACAAGCTTCCCTCCAGGGACCATCCCCTCCTCTGCAGGGTTGGAAAACACCGTGTGAGAGACGTGTGTCAGTCACGCTCAGCCAGAGCTCCCCAGGCCCCGGGAGCACAGCCCTTTGGAGATGGGGTGGCCTCTGGCCTTGCGCTGGGATCTGAAGCTTGCATGGCATCTAAAACTGCTGATCTTATTGTACTGGCAAATTTTATTTGGCAAATGTTTCCAGAGCTTGGCAGAATTCTGGAAATAAAAGAATGGTGTTTTGTCTGCCGCACAGCCTTCCTGACTGTCCTCCTGAGCAGGAGTTTGGTGCCTCCGCACCTCAAAAGCCCATGCACCCTTCAGGGTGTCTCACTTCTGCAGCCCGCAGCCCCTGCCCCTGGAGGACACGGCACAGCATCTCGGAGCAGAGCTGCTGTCGTCTAACCGAGCTTTCACAGCTGTCAGTTGGGGGTGGACGAAAGGTGCAGCGCAGTCTACCTGTGAGGTGACAGCATCACAGGCGAGCTGACCCCTGCAGCACTCGCGGTGACTACTCTGAACCAGTCACAGTGAGAGGGGCAGGTGGGTGAGGTGTCCCATCTGTCCCGGAGGACCACGATGTCACTTTACTCAGCAGAGGGCCGTGGGGTCGGAGCTGGAACGGTCTCAAGGGTGGCAGGGGCGCGGCAGAAAGGCTACAGGGTTTGAGGCCTCCCCACAAGGAGCACTGAGAAATGTGAATGTGGATTTGGGGGCTGCGCTTTCCTCTGCATGGTCATTTTGGGGCTCAACATTTCAAAACCCAAGACTAACTTCAGAACGCATCGTCGATCTCAAACTTAACTTAAAAACTCTTGTCTAGGGTCCTACTATCAGCACATCCATAATCTGCATCAAGACCGAACCTGTCTGCTAACAAGTGTGTCTTCCATAAGCCAATGGCAGCCTAGCACGACTCACTTTGAAACCAGTGTTCCTTTGGAAGGAGGAGAAAACCCTTCCTGAATGCTTTCTCTTATCTGTCCACAGACACTTGCTTTTCTTGAGGCTACCCTGAATGTAAACTCTCTGGCGCCGAGCGCCCAGAGGGACTGTGATGCTGCCGGCTAAGCCCAGGTCCAGCACCACTGCGAGGCCCGGAAGGCCACAATGGTCAACATCGGGCGGTCCAGGTCACAGCAGGCCCTCTGTTCTCTCAGGCGCGGTGCCTCGAATCTTGGGCTTACAGCCCTTCAAATCCTTTGGCAAGAGGTATTTTTCCTGTAATCCATGGGCTCCACGGTTATAGGTTCGCACACCTGCGACCTCTTCTCTTCCGTGTCTTCTTAAATGTTTCATTAGATCCTGCATCCAAAGCCAGAGCTGTTAAAGTAACCAGAGGCGGGACAACCAAAACAGCTACCAGCACAGGTCTCTGCCGCCTCCTTACTCTCCTTCCGACCCTAGCTGTGGACACCCTGACACCGATGGGTAATTTAGCCGTGGACAGGCAGCTGCTCTGAGGAGCTCTAGGGTATCATGAACAGCCGTCACCGTCCTTACACAGAAGTGCGGCAATCTGTCCACTTCTGCTACTGTGTAAGATCCGCCGATCTGCCGTCTGAAACGATGTGAACAAGGTAGTTTTTACCTTGGTCAATTCTGAAAATGGGATCTATCTGCTACTTAAAGGAGGCGTGAATGCTAAATGTTCCTCTCAAAGGCGACGGTCTTATTTTCTTAAAAGGAGGTAGCTATCAAACCATGACATGGGCAGCAATTGACATTTTAATTATAGGAGAAGTAAACTACTGAATATTTTATTTCAAAGTAAAAACATCTCCAGCATAAATCTTCTTATATGCATCTGAGAAATTCACAATACATTTTAGAGACCCAATGGATACATTCAAAATTTCAAAATGTTATTTGACAAAATAAGGTCAGGTCTACCCCAAACCTAAGACTTTGACTCAAAGGCAAGGTGGCAAAAAGCAACCAAGGCTGTTTTGCAGTTATAAACAACACTGACTATCGAGAAGCAACACGGTTACACTGCTTTACACTCAGTCGTGGAAATCTACAGTTTATTTTCAGTGTTAGAACTAAAGGATAACTTTTTCAAAGAGGAGACTCAATTCTATTTATCTGCCTGTCAACAAATAAAGAACTGAACTGTCAGCCATAAACACTTTTACAAATAGATTGGGTGAACTACGCTAGAACGGTGACACCGCTTAACCAGACCGAAACAGACACGCTCAGACCCCTTGTACAAAGACGATGCCATGTCTGTGTGACTCAGGTTCTCTAAGCACAACTGCTCCATGCTCTAACTGCCCAATGCGCGCCAGTTTCCATACCCGGAAGGGAGCCCTGCGCTCCTTCGTGGGACTGGCAGGGCGGGGAGGCTGCAGGGGAGGGCCTGGCATGAGATCTGTCTGCCTCTGGCTCTGCGAGAATGAAAATCACTGGTTACCACGAAGCAATTCCTAGGGCTTATGTTTGAGGTTTAAAACAAAGAAGAGAATTCTTTCCTTGAGCTCTTCCCAGTCATACACACGTCACCATTCACTGTCAAGCACAGTGCGGTTCTCTAAGGATATGGCTGACACGCACATTGGCCTGGATTAAAAGGGCGGAGTCAGGACTGGATTTGGAGCCCAGTGGCAGAGCGCCTGCCGAACACACGCAAGGCCTTGGACTCGTCACCAGCACTGAGCGAGCGAGAACCAGTTTTCATACATGGCACATGTCAGTGACCCATCTGGCATAAATAAGGGACTTTTACTAACAGCTCAAGGATGAAGATGAACGGAGGCTGGCGAAGAGCGTGACAGCTGACCACCATTCATTCAGAGTGGATATCCAAAGTATAATCTAGGAGGAGGGTTATTTACCCCATAGACAGAGCAGCTCAAAACGCCAAGGGGCATCATTCACTTAGAATAAGTTGTGATTGTTTTCATAGTTATTTCAGGGGGAAAAGAGGTTATAGAAAAATACCTAGAATCTACAACTTCATTGGCAAATTATTTCAACAATAATCCTTACATTTTTGTGTGTCCTTTCATAATTTAAACTTTAGCAATGAACTATTCAATATAATCATTGTAACTTTCCATGAGAACCAAATAAAAGTCACATCTGCTCAATTTACTTTTGCATTTACATCTGATTGTATCCACTCGATGCACTACATATCCAACTATGTGAGGCAGGCATCTTGAGGCGCAAGAGTTGTTCTTTCATGAGTGCCCTCTCCGAATGGCGAGACTGGCAGTTTTCACAGACGCATTCATGTATGTACTTCAAAGAGCAAAGCGTCAACTCTTCATCCATTGTTAACTTAATGGTAAGACTACAACAGAAAAAGAGAAAGTCAACTTCGAGATTTTGTAATGCAGTTTTAATTCTTTGCTGTGGTTTATAATAATTTTATTGCTTAATAAGTCCGAACAGCAAGTTATCTCATTTACTTTGAAAAAAACCAAAATATATCAAGAATTTATACTAATGAAGTTTTGGGGACACTTTCAGCCGTTTTTCTTTTACAGCTGAGGTGCATTAGCCACCTGCAGGATGAGAGCTAACAGACCTTTTCTGTTCCTAAGCAGAAATGTTGACTCTGCGTCTAGACGCCTACTTGCTTTCCTCATGCAGAAGCAGGGCACTTTTTTTTAGTCAGTCACAGCCCCAACAGGCTCCTCAACCTAACTGTGCACCCGACCTCAGCCTGGCCAACAGAAAGCATGCCAGGCAAATGGGCCATGGAGAAGAGCGGCATAGCCCAGTTCTCAGTGTTGCCAAGGATTTAACGGAATTGCGGCTGAGAAACAGCAGGCAGCGCTGCCTGGTGGACCTCAATGTTTGTTACGTGCTCGCTGCCTTAGGGCCTGTAGACTCTCTGCATTATACCAGACAAGCAGAGATTGCTTTTTATTGACCCGTGCATGTGGTGTGATACTGTAAATCATATGGTTAAAAAAAACAAACCACACACAGCGGAAGCGGATCTCCCAGAGCTGGCCTCGCGATGCTGCGGTGGAACAGGGCTCCCCCATGCAAGCGGCAGGGATCCTGGGAAACTCTGCCCCTGTATTAATCCTGCTCTCATCCTTGTAAATGCTGTGCTGGGGTTAGCAGATTTACTCATATACTCTCCTAGAAGTCAAAAGCTCTCTAACCTTCCATCCAGAGTGGGGACACAAACTCAGCCGTGCTGAAATAACCAAATGACACTCACGTGAGGGCCCCCAGGCATGGGCGGAGCACCGGATGGTCCTGAAGGCACTTGGTAAGGATGGCTGGGAGCGGGGTAGAGTCCTGGCGTGGGGTACGAGCCTGCAGCGCCCGGGTACGGTGCCGGCGGCCCCCAGGCTCCTGGTGGCACAGTGCCCCATGGAACAGGCGGTGCTGTGCCTGGGGCCTGGGGCGGAGGAGCGGGGTATGGCCCTGGAGAAGCATAGGGCATACTGGGGCTCGGGTACTGCGCCCCCATGCCTGGCGCCCAAGATCCAGAAGACACGGAGCCCCATGGACCCAAGGGGCCCGCGGCTGGGTCTGCAGGTGCACCGTAGGGCCTGGGGAGCTCAGGGAAGGCCATGTTCGGGGTCGAGTACGGCCCTGTGGGGCCGTGGCTCGGGGCAGCGTAAGGGCCCGCGGGCGGGGGGCAGGAGGGTCCAGACGGAGGGAAGGGTGCCGGGGGCGGTCCGGCTGGAGGCACGGAGGGGTACATTCCTGGGGGTGCAGCTCCAAAAGGCACGGTGGAGGGTGTTGCGCTCGGCGGGGGTCCGGAGGGCAGGGATGGCGCAGCACTCAGGTTGTTCCAGGGGCTGGAACCCGGCCAGCCCTGGAGTGCTGGGCTGGATTTGGAGTTACTCTCAGCCGAGGTTTTGGCGGGGGAGTGTTCGGGGAGCGCGTCAGCCAACTGGAAGACAGGAGACCTGGGTTTCTTTTCTCCTCTCGGGACAGGGACAAGGACAAGTCACCGCGCGGGATCACCATCCATGGAGATCAGAGAATTAGTCAGATGAGAAGCTTTAATCAATAGCAACTCCATGGGCTGAGCATTTAACAGGTGTTTGAGGTGTCTGCTTGAATGTCAGCTTTATTTACTTATTTTGGGTTTTTTGAGACAGGGTCTTGCTGTGTTGCTCAGGCTGGGCTTGAACTGACAGCGATCCTCCTGCCTCAGCCTTGAAAGTGCTGGGAGGATTACAGGTGTGCGCTACCATGCCTGGCTTGAATATTGATTTAGAGTGCAAAATTTTAAGAAAGGGTTCAACTCTGCTAAATCCAAGCAATCACCCAGTGCTTGGTTTCTGTACTGTGCTAATGCGTCAGTACAAAATCGGGGTGGAATTTATAGTTGGGACCTGGATTTGAAGCCTGGCTTCACACTCTTGTTTTCAGTCTCGGGGTTAACTTGAGACTTCCATGAGAGCTTACAATGCAATGAACACACTGTCCAGTATGAAATGATTTTCAACAAAGAGTGGGATTATTACCACTATAATGGTAAAAGACAAAAGTCACGCAAACATTTTTCATTCCAAGATTCAGACATTTCGAATATTTTCAAACATGCTCAATCTATGTAAATAAAGGGAAATCATCTATCAAAATCACACACCAACAAAGACCAAGCATCCCAGAAAGCATCTTTTTAAATTAAAAGACTTGGCAAGGGCTGGAGACGCAGCTCAATTGGAGAGTTCTTTCCTAGCATGCACAAGGTCCTGGGTTCGATCCCCAGTACCATAAAAGACATGAGTTGCCTCCAGTTAGGACCATGTTTTTCCTAAGTGCCAAAAATCTTCACCAAGGATAAAAATATTAACTTACCGAAAACTCATCAGACATCTTCCTAAAGAAAGAAAGAAAATTTCAAATTGAGTATTGAGCATTTCTTATAAACTCTTAAAAAGAGTTTTCTATGCATACATCATTTTTACCTAAATGGAATCTGCATCATTTATGTCTTGCGTTTTTCTTGTAGGAGAAAAATTTTCCACAGAAGTTGAAACAGCTCCATCAATGTCCCCCCACCACCACCTTTTTGTGATACCCGGGACTGAACTCAGGACCTTGAGCTTGCAAGGCAGGCTCAGTGTCACTGAGCTAAATCCCGGGCCCCACCGTCACCTCTTTTAAGGGTTGCACATCAGATAAAAATGACTCCCTACCCACCCATGGGGTCTGAGTGGCCCAGGTTGGTCCCAAACCCTCAGGCTCCATGGACCTTCCCGCGTCAGCCTCCCTAGTAGCTGGCAATGCAAGCGTGTGCCTACACACCAGCCTGCCGTACAATTCAGCCTACCCAAAGGATCTTTGTGGCAGCCTAGGCTGCTGTGCACAGTGGTACAACAAACATCTCTGAATAGTCAGCTCTGCTCGCGTGAGATCACGATCAGGAAAAAGTCCCAGAAGCGGGATTCTAAACAACCAGAATCCACCTGCAAAGCCCATGTGGTTTACACTGTCACCCCTTTCTCTTTCTCCCTCCTTACCCAGAGCCCCTTCCTTGTCAAAGTCTACCTCCTTCCTTCCTGTCTCTCCTTTACTTGCTCCTTACTTGTCTCGGTTTCTCATGCAAGAGAAACCCCCATCAATTTTTAAGTCGAAGCAGACAAGCAAGAAGATGTACAGGTCTTAGGTGTGTGACAACTGTCCCCACCCCATAACAGCCCCAAACAAAATACGTTTCCCTTCTTCCAAAACATCTGCTCCTGCCCTCTCCCAAATGTGGGCCCTCACTGTCACTTTAGCTTGTTCGGCTTCTACATAAATAGAGGATAGCAGCTACTCTTCTGCCTTTGATCATTTTACTAGTTTGTAGTAAATCATTTTTTCCCCTCACTCTTTGTAAGAAACCAAGGAAACTGTCACGAATGGGCCAAAAATTTTCTTCCCAAGTCCCCCCTTTTAAACTGTTCTAACTCCCCTAAATGGTGCTTTTTGGTACTAAAAGGTTTAAATTTAAATTTTTCCCTACATGACACTTATGGAAGCTGTGGCAAGTACAAAGGCCTTCTCCACTCCAAGATTTCCTTAAAAACTGCCTTGTTTTCTTATAGTATATGATTTGAGTTCCTGCCTAAAACCTTTCGACTCTTCCCAGCAACAGTCACCAGATAACCTCGCTTTTGTTAACTAATCGGGCAAACTATCTTTAATATTACAGCTGCCTGTGACTACTGCGATGTACTGGAGGGTTATCATGGACAGGCATGTTCTCCACTGGCAGGTTCTAGCACCACCAGGGTCCAGGGCTGGAGAAAAGGAAGCTTAGCAAGATAACTGGTTTACAGTCTTACACCAATGGCAGTGGGAGGCAGGGGTTCCAACCTAGCCCAGGGTGACCCCCAGAGCCCACCCAGCCTCTTACACAAAGGCTGGGGAGCTTCGATCTGCACCACCACAATTCCAACTTAACAACAGTAGCTTTATATTTTAAACAAAGGTTCCAGCACTCAGGAGGCTGAGAGAGAAAGACTGGCAATGAGTTCCAGGCCAAAGTCTCACAAAGTCACTGAATTGCTGAGGCTGGGCACACACCCAGAGTTCTGGGATTACAGGTGTGAACAACCATGCCCAGCTTTCTTTTTTTTTTTGAAGCAAGGCTTTTATTGGTACATTTTAGAAATACATAGTGATAGGGCCAGGGCTTTAGCTCAGCAGTTCAGCACCTGCCTCACACAAGGACCCGAGTTCGATCTGCGGTACAAAAAAAAAAAAAAGACAAGACATACATAGTGGTAACACTCATCATAGGGAATGTGTACCTGCACCTGACAAATCTTGTTTTCCCTTTTCCCAACCCCCTCTTTGACCTCTCTTCTCCTCATTTACCAAAGCTTTGCAGCCTGAATTTGTGACAGTCTCAAAAACAAACAAAAAAGCCTTTCAGTATATGAGGTGACCCATTTTTCTCCTTTGACTTCTAATTGTATTTTTATTAAAATTTTGGGGCTGGGGATTTGGCTCAGTGGTTCCACTGCCTGACTCCCAAGCGCAAGGACTCGTGTTCAATCCCCGGTACCCCACCAAAAAAAACCACACTTAAAATTCTATCTATAATTATGATTTATCATGAGGAGTAATACAGGAAAAGAACATAAACCTGGGGGTCACAACTACTATATCCTTGCTTATTCAGAATATAAAAACATTCTGAATGTAAAGGAAATATAATTATCTCTTCATTCCAATACTGAGGTACACTAAGCCATCAGTACTCTTAGGAATCAGTGCTAAATTAGGGTGTATTATATACATGTACCAACTCCCTACGATGAACAGAAGTACAGTGGATCCTCAAGTTATGACCGACCTGACATATGAACTACTTGGATTATGTTAGTGGAAGATTCATCTGCATGTCATCTACAGTCTGTACCTGGGTGAACATCCAGATCTCAGCTGTTTTGACTTCCAACCAAAGAGCCCATAGGAACCGATCATGTTCATAAGGGCCCACTGTAATCATTAATGTACTGCAAACACACTAATAATTTTTAAGTAATTTAAAAATGATTAATGCTAGAAGAAACTATCAAACTATTAAGTTTTAAAGTCCACGGATGACCAACATCCTTGTCAGACAGGGTGACCCTGTGTGAAACAGAAAATGGTCTGGACCGAAGATCACATTCATTCCAGAGCACACAGCCTACCAGTGACCGAGTCATTTTCTTGTGGCCTCGATGCTCAGGTTTTCAGAATACTCTGTTCCCTTGAGGTGCTTGGCAAATATATACATGATATTTGGAAATTATTCCACATACTCATAATCATCTGATTAATTACTCTGCCCTTCAAAATTTTAACTTTGAAACGGGTGGAGGATAAACACTGACTTTGCTCTGTGGGTTGTATGTTCATCTGAAAAAGGTTAAAAAAAAAAATCAGAGTGGGACATCAGTGCTTCAACAGCAAAGTTGCATTATGCAAAAACATCCAGACTGCCTAAAAATCTACTCTAAAAAGTATGCTAATTCATATGACAAGGCTAAGGCAAACCTGAACTTGTCAAAAAAAATTTATAATAAAATGTTTTCATTTTCTTTTTTCTGCAACACTCAAAAACTATTTGCAAAACTTTCCGTTACCACTTTGTGGCAGTTTATCCATCATTTGAAAAATTATTTTCTCAGCAGCAAGAATAGTTATTTCTAATTCTAGGTGCTGGGGAGTGAATTCTGGCCTTCACAGTCCCCCTTAATTCTGAGACAGACAGGGCCTTGCCGAGTCACCTGGTTACCCACCTGTCAGCCTCCCAGAGTGCTGGGATCACAGCACACACCGCTCTGCCTCGCTAACAGTAGTTCTGAACCAGAGAACAAGTTTTGATCTAAACTACAAAACTAAGACAACACTTCAGTAATCCCTATGGTCTTCAGCATAGAGACAAGCCACAGGGAACCAAAGAGTTGAGTGCGGACTCCCTGTGGGTGACAGGAATGACTGAAAGGGACTTAGCACGGAGTCCTGGTGAGCAGCGTAAGTGCGAGGCACTGCGGTCAGAGGCTGGACAGGCAGCCACCCCGCAAAGGCACACCTTCCCCTTGCTCAGTCATGAGTCCTATTACCTCACGGATAATTAATAAGCTGTTCAATAAAGCGCTACCCACACATCTGTTAAGGGAAACTAAAGCAGCCCAGATGTTTGTGATTTGTTCAGTAAAGGGGAGGAAGATGATGGTATGTACTAAAAACAAATTCTCAACCAGAAATAGGCTAGATTTGGTACTGGCTATTTTATTAGTCTATATATTAGGTAACTCCAGCAACTGGGATGGAAAGTTTCTGAATACTTAAAATTCCCAGGAACACCTTATACCTTTATTCAGATCGCCTTGGAACCTATATGGCAGGCAGAGCTGGGCTTTGGGGACATGAACAGATGGGAAGGACCTTCAGAGAGGTGGCATCTGTGATCTAGGAAGAAAAACAAGGGAGTAGCAGCTGGAGGAAAGAGAACTGCAGAAGGGCCGGGAGGGAGCTCAGACCGCTCAGGGGAAGCACAAGCAGTCGAGACTGGCTGGAAAATGCCAAGAAAAGTGACAGTGATATTTCAGCAGAGAAGTCTACAGGGTTGAGTCAGTTAGCCTACCCGATGAAGTTCATTTTCTCCATCTACACAGGATGGGCAGGTAATGCTGAGTGGGACGGGAGGGGACTGTCCCCCATCAAGCACTTCGCCTAAGAGTGGGCAGGCAACAAATGCCAAATTCTCCTTTCTTCCTGTTATGGACATATAAAATCAAGCGCAGACTTCTAGACAAAACTGCAGCTCCTCACTGGCTGGCCGGCCTGACTCTCCAAGGCTCCAGAGGTAAAGAAGAGGGGCAAAGAACGCACTTCCCAGATGTGCTTATGAAAACAACTCTGCAATCACTCACTGCCCGGCAGAGAGCAACAAACATCTCCAGCCCCTGTAATAGGTCCACACGCTTCTGTCTGCGGTTCTCAACTCAGAAATTTCTCGAAAGAAACTTTCCCTGGGCGGGGATTTAGCTCAGTGGTTCTGCCGTCTGCTTCGCAAGCGCAGGGCCCGAGTTCGATCCCCGGTACAAAAAAAAAAAAAAAAAGAAAAAAAAAAAAA